CCCCCCCCCCCCCCCCCCCCCCCCCCCCCCCCCCCCCCCCCCGGTCTGCGAAGGGTGACAGGCTGGTCAGTGTGAGTTACGTTTCATCCATCAAGTGTTAAAAGTCTAGATGTAAAAAATCAGCACTTAAAAAAGAAAGACTATTTAGCCATTAGACGCACATGAATTTCTATCTGTTACGATACATGCAACTCTACAGAACAGTATTCAAAACTCATCCATGGTATAAAAAGGAGAGAGAAAGAGAGAGAGAGAGAGAGAGAGAGAGAGAGAGAGAGAGAGAGAGAGAGAGAGAGACATTTATTGTTGAAAAGAACCATTAAGATCATTAGGTTAGAAATGGGGGGGAAAGAAAAGGGTTCTTCGACATTTGCTTTGAGGGACTCCAGATATAGGTCTCCGATGTCAGCACTACTCCAGGATTTAAATGACCTAAGAACAACTATCTGGCAATGTTTCTCAAACTTTCAAAATCTATAATGCGGTGTGAACTATCAGTTTGGGAGGAAATGTAAAAGAAAGATGAGTGAATCACCATTATCTAATAACAAAAAGGGTTTGTTTGCAAATCAACAACATTATACCATATCAATGAGAGGGACCAATTGGTGACACTCTTTTCTGGTGGTATCTACAGGGAAGGGCATCTTATTTGGGCATTCAATTCTAATGAGAAAGGTTAAATGAAAACCTATGCAAGGGCAAAATGCTGGAAATTCTCTTAATTAAAGTATTCCCTATCATCCTATAGAGGATCTTATTCAGAAATTATTTCCTTCGAAGTATTTGCCTCTTGGGACATGCGAAGCTTTTCCAGATTTCAAATTGCTTGTTCATTCTGCATAAAATCCTTTCCTTCTCTTGTTGGTTATGTGCCTTACACACACGCCAAAGCCAGAAAAGCACACTGGTTTTGTTTTCTGTTCCCACAACAAGGCAACTATGTGCTAGCATGCAGATTGCATTTCCACACTGTACGGCTGGGATATCACACGACACCCACTAGGTGGGAGTAATAGAGAAACGTTTGCTCCAAGCATAACAAAGTCATTGATTTTGCAGCTGGCTTTCAAATCTTCTGGACAATCGTGCGACTTGTACGAATGGTGCCGCTTTGAGTGGCACTTCTGTGGGTTTGGTCTTTTCTCTGTCCTCAGGGACCAAAACCATCAGTGATGAACTGGACCTCATTTTACACTTTGTCTGGAAGTATTTGTTGGTTTTACCCAGGAAGTCATGCTGCTTTGTCTGAAAATGATATAGTTACCTTAACACCTCCATGTCGTTATTTGAAAGATTTGAAGAAGGATAATACATGGCGGACTCAGGGAGAATGGCTCAATAATCAAATCTAATTCAAGTTTTTTATATTCATTAGGTGTACGAACTGCCTTTTTCTGTTTCAATTGCTTATTCAAAAAAAATCGATTCACAGAATCACCCTCTCCTAACCCAAGGAAGCTCATATTCTAGAGCTAGAATCCTGTTTACTATCTATAATTATGATATTATTCTGAATTAGAGTGGTTACTATTTTCATCTCTTCTTTTATGTTTTAATGAACCACTTTCAAATCGCTGATCCTTTTGTCTGTGAACTGGGGATATACTGTCAAAAACTGAAAATAAAAATTGCAAATTACAAATGTACATGTTAAACAAAATAAAAGGAGCACAGCCAAGGAAGGCACACTGTCATGCTACTCATGGAGCGTGAGCCTAGACAAACGTACCAAATGCACATTCTTTGCGGCACACATGCAACCCTCAAGAACCTGATGGTTATTAAGAAATTATGGAGTGGTGTTGTGAATAGTTAAGAGCATGGGCTCCGGAGCCAGATGGCCTGATTGCAAAACCAGCCTCTGTCCCTCACTAGCTGTTGACCTTAGGCAATCAAACTAAACTCCCTTTGTCTTGGCTTCTCCCCAGAAAATCAAGCCCGTCACTCGTAGCCAACTCACGCAGTTGTGTGAGGACTGAATTAATTAACAAATGTATTAGAATGATGCCGGACACAGAAAGGGCTATGAAATGTTAGCTGTACGTTAAAATGGAGTGAAAACTGTAACTTCTTTTACGCATCAGATTTGTGAAATGTAGGTCAGCCACTACATCTGTGGTTTGAAACTCACAAACCACCAGCGGTCCCTGGACCACACTTGTCTACGGTATCTCTGCCGTGACACATTTTGAAATGTACTCACCTGGGACACAGGTTGCTAAAACCAGTGATGATGCCTGTTTGGACAACGGATTACTGATGATACACTGTATTTCCTGTGAGAGATCACTCTCCCTCTTAATAGAAACTTCAGATGAATTGGTGCTATTTTGACACTGTTCCGAGAAGCAATTCCAGGAGTACTTTATAAGGTTTATATGGCTGCTGTAGGTTTCCGGGATCCTGCAGCGGACTATAATGTTTTCGGCAGTGAATGTGCAATTTAGTGTTGGAAATGGAAGAGGCTCTGGAAAAAAAAAAAAAAAAGAAATGTAATATTTAGTCCAGAAAAGAGTAATATTTAGACTCATCTTCTCCAAATAGATGAAGAGCTCCCAACTTCCTTATGAGCTTGAAAAGGCAAGCCGGGGGTGCCTGGGTGGCGTAGTCGGTTAAGCGTCCGACTTCAGCCAGGTCACGATCTCGCGGTCCGGGAGTTCGAGCCCCGCGTCAGGCTCTAGGCTGATGGTTCAGAGCCTGGAGCCTGTTTCCGATTCTGTGTCTCCCTCTCTCTCTGCCCCTCCCCCGTTCATGCTCTGTCTCTCTCTGTCCCAAAAATAAATAAACGTTGAAAAAAAAAAAAAGAAAAGGCAAGCCGACCACCTTCCTTGAGCTCCAAGGGGAGAGAACTCTCTCTTCTCCTGGGTCAGACCTACCTGCTCACATTCAGACTACATACAGGCACCACATCCCTTATCCTCAATTCAGAGAGCCAAAAGATATTACCCAAGATAGTAGCAACGTCGCATAGCTGCAAATCCTGATCTGAATTGACATAAGGATTTGTTTTTATTCTTCTCACTTCAAATATTCATTATCATGTTGTATCAAAAATGTTCATGTGCTTGAATATGGGGCGGTCCCCCAAACTAAGTGGGTGCTTTGTAACATACAGAGAGGAAAGAGTTAATACCACCTTTCTAAAATCTAAAAATGCTTAATTGTAAAAGACGTCTGACTTAACAGTGTCTGCAAAACATCTGGTGCAGCTATACTGTGGGGAGGCCCTGATAATCAGTAGAGTAGGGGACGGCACCTGTCACGGACCTGCCAGTCTAGAGGCCTTACTCCCAGCCTTCCTGTAGCAAGTGCTCCCTGCTGGCTATAGAGGCAAGGTGCCTGGGTGGCTCAGTCAGTTAAGCGTCCGACTTCGGCTCAAATCATGATCTTGCCGCTCGTGGGTTCAAGCCCTGCGTCGGGTTCTGTGCTGACAGCTGGGAGTCTGGAGCCTGCTTCGGATTCTGTCTCCATCTCTCTCAGCCCCTTCCCCATTCGTGCTCTGTCTCTCTGTCGCTGTCTCTCTCTCTCAAATATAAACAAATATTAAAAAATTTTTTTTAAAAAGGATGGGTTAAGAACTGCAATGCTAGTTTATCCTATTAGCTATTCTTTCCTTTGTTAATTCATATACCTTCCTGCATCTCTACTTTGGCCCAACAACTAACCCAAAGAAATTTGAGAAAACACGTACAAATATATAGACTATCCAGAAAATGGTCATGGTAGCATTTGGATAATAAAATTTCCATACATTACGAATATCTACTAAAAAGCAAATTAAAGCAAATTAATATTCATCTATGCTGCCATTTAAAAATGATATTTTCTAAGGCAAAAGAATGCTTATGTTCTAATTAGTAACCTAATATACTCTAAAAACTGGAAGTGTTCAATTCCTCTCCTCCCCCGCCCCGCCCCGCCAATTTTGTCAACACTCCTTTTTCACTCAGTTAAGTGAGACCTGAGTCACACATGACTTCCCTTTCTGCTTGGGGCTTCTTCAGTTGTTAGGTTTAATCCAGCTCACATAACTTGTTAGATGGGGCCTCAAAGAAGGCAATGGAAACCTTTCCCCAAATTAAATTGTAAGCAACAGACCAATATCCTTCAGGAGGGTAAGCAGTTCTTCTCTTGACTCAAAATTGGGAAGCCCAGAGCCCTCCTCCTCGGCCTCCTCAGGTCCGTCCTGCCTCCCACACTCAGAGATCGGCTCCTGAAGCACCTCCAAGCAGCCCTGTGTATCTCCATGCATCTGAGAAACACACCTGATGGTTCCAGATCTGCGTGTTCCTGTGCCTGCCTCTGCAACTGGGCTGGGCATTTCCCAGCGGCATGAAACCGAGTTTTCTAGTTCCTTAGAAATGTTCCATAGAAGAGCTTCTCAAATATTAACGTGCATGAGGATCACCGAGGGTATGTGTTAAAAATGCAGATTGCTAGGCCCCGTCACCCCAGGTGACCCGGATGCGGGTGCTCCGTGTGTTCTGTTACAGATTCTTGCTCACTGATCCAGTACGGTCAACGTCTAGTATGTCATCAAACACTTTCTAGACTGAAAAGACGTGCCTCATGAGCCCCCAGACTGTGCATCTTTGGAGGGTAAAGGCTAGATATCACTCGCCTCTCAACCACAGCATCTGACATAACACATGGAACACAGGTGGCTCCTCTAGAAGAACAGATATTGGATACATGGAGGGATAGATGGTGGGTGGATGGATGGATGGATGGATACGTTCAGGGAGGCAGTTTCAAATTATCCTCTCCACTCCATAAAACGTAAATCCTTCAATCAGCTCCCCTCCGAAAAAGGAACAGTGTGGTGCCTAAAAGCATGGACTTAAGAGCCTGACTGCCTGGGTTCACACCATTTGCCTTTGGGAAGTTACCTTATCACAACCCTCCCTGGCCCCGTTCCCTACCTAGGTTTCCTCTCCTGTGCAATAAAGAAACAAATAGTATGTCCCCTTTAGGATTCTGATAAGGATGAAATGAGATAATACACATAATTCCTGCCATATGGATCACCATGCAGTGCCGGCACAGAGATGCCAGCTGTAACAGAGCACAGGACAAGAAGGAGAGGCTCCCCAGGAGGGTGTGTAACACCACCAGGAGTTGGGAGGTGTGAGCTTTGGCCCTGGAGAGTGGTGTGACCGCGGCCCTTGAGGTAGCTGGAACACGTTTAAGGCATCATATAGCCCAGGACTCTTGTTCTACAGATGGGAAAACCCGCTGCTAAATCCGTCTCATTTTCATCTGTAAAATAGAATACTTTAAAGACTGTGAAGTCTAGTGGAATATAAAAGTAATCTGAAAGGACATTTGAAAGGAAGACTTTGTATTATTTTCCATGTTGTTAGAGCTCACTTAACTGAACAGAAGCTCTTTCTGGCGGTCTCATTACACCTCTGTGGCCAGAAAGCAAACCTCAAAGAGCCCGTCCCGCTCACCAAAAAGCATGCAAACCTTCCTGCAGCATCAGGCTCAGAGCTCCTACAACTCAGATCTCTGTCTGTAAGCTTCACAGTCCTACACTGCCCATGAGAATTCCCACAGCTCTTGCTAACAAATGTTAGTTCCACCTGTACCTGAAGCAGCATTAAACTGGCAGGAAAGGCACTTATTTCATCCCTAAGATAACTCAGCCAATTTATAATTCAGCTTGCTGCTCTGTAAGGCTGAGAATTGCTTATACACATCTGATCGCATTTGTACATTTCTACTAACTCTAATAAAAAGTCATATCGCTTTAGGTTATTTAAGGATAGAGCAGTTAATTCTACTTACGTGGACATCACCATCTTTACTGCAACCAAAAAAAGCAAGACGTAATAAGCATTGGTGGTGGAAATTTGAAGGGGATTTTGAGGGAAGAAGGAAACCAAATATCAACTTACACACAGAAGGAAGTAGATGCCTGAATTTAGGGGGTGCCAGGAAATCCCCCTGCCTAAAATATCCTTTCTGAAAATCTCCCGTTAGGCCCCGTGTCTCCGGAAGATCACCAAGTCACTTAAACATTAACAAACCCTGAAGGAAGTATGCCTTCCTCATTCCCCTCCCCACCCCCCGAAAAAGTATGACCAATCGTTTTCTCATTCAGGTGTGAAGCGTGAAATCTCGAGTCATCTTATGTCTTTTTATAACCAAAATCTAATTTTGTTGGCTCTTTCTTAGAAATATTTTCCCTTTCTTTCCTTTCCAAATATCTACTAGCAACACCTCTGTCTCCCTGGATGATCACAGTAGCTTCCAAACTGGTGTCTCCTCTAATTTACCATATACACCTACCATCTTATTAATGATCCGAAAACAGATTTTATCAAGTCACTTATCTGTTCCAGTATGGGCTACAGGGGCTCCCCACTGCCACAGGCTAAAATCCAGACTCTTAAGCCAGGAATTGGGGTCCCACATTTAATGTTGCCAGTATCACTGCCTCCTGATGAAAAACCACCCCCACCCCCGCCCCCATACTGTGGTCCTCTGCAGGGTTTTGCAAATTCAGCTTCCTAAGGGCTATCCACCAGTTGATCTAACTACTGAGATCAAGCACCTTTGTGGAATTACTGTGGAATTTTAAAAAATAAATTATTTTTAAGCATTTCATCAAGTTTAAAAAGAGAAATTAATTCAAGTGTTTGAACTGTTTTACAAACTCTATGAAAGAGCTCCTAACATGCATTCCATTGTTAAATAGAGAACCCAGAAATGGACCTACAAATACATGGCCAATTAATCTTCGACAAAGCAGCAAAGAGTATCCAATGGAAAAAAAGATGATCTCTTCAGCAAATGGTGCTGGGAGAACTGGACAGCGACATGCAGAAGAATGAAATCAGACCACTTTCTTACACCATTCACAAAAATAAACTCAAAATGGATGAAAGATCTAAATGTAAGATAGGAAGCCATCAAAATCCTGGAGGAGAAAACAGGCAGCAACCTCTTGACCTCGGCTGCAGCAACTTCTTATTTGACCTGTCTCCAAAAGCAAGGGAAACAAAAGCAAAAATGAACTATTGGGACCTCATCAAGATAAAAAGCTTCCACACAGAGAAGGAAACAATCCATAAAAGGCAACCAGCAGAATGGGAGAAGATACTTACTTGCAAATGACAAATCGGATAAAGGATTAGTATCCAAAATCTATAAAGAACTTACCAAACTCAACACCGAAAAAAAAAAAAAAAATCCAGTGAAGAAATGGGCAGAAGACATGAATAGACACTTCTCCAGAGAAGACATCCAGAAGGCCAATAGACACATGAAAAGATGCTCAGTATCACGCATCATCAGAGAAATACAAATCAAAACCACAATGAGATCCCACCTCAGAACTGTCAAAATGGCTAAAATTAATGACACAAGAAACGACAGGTGTTGGCGAGGATGCAGAGAAAAGGGAACCCTCTTGTATTGTTGGTGGGAATGCAAACTGGTGCAGTCACTCTGGAAAACAGTATGGAGGTTCCTCAAAAAATTAAAAATAGAAATACCCTATGATCCAACAATTGCACTACTAGGTATTTATCCAAAGGATACAAAAACACTGATTTGAAGGGACACATTACTCCAATATTTATAGCAGCACTATCAACAATAGTCAAATTACGGAAAGAGCCCAAATGTCCATCGACTGATGAATGGATAAAGAAGATGTGATATATATATGTGTGTGTACACACACACACACACACACACACACACACACACACACACGAATACTACTCAGCAATGAAAAAGAATGAAATCTTGCCATTTGCAACAACGTGGATGGAACTAGAGTGTATTAGGCCAAGCGAAATAAGTCAGAGAATGACAGTTATCACATGATTTCACTCATATGTGGAATTTGAGAAACTCAACAGATGACCATAGGGGAAGGGAAGGAAAAATAAAACAGAGAGGGAGACAAACCATTAGAGACTCTTAAATACAGAGAACAAACTGAGGGTTGCTGGCAGGGTGTTGGCTGGGGGGATGGGCCAAATGGGGGATGGGCATTCAGGAGGGCACTTGTTGGGATGAGCACTGGGTGTCATATGGAAATGACGAATCACCGGGTTCTACTCCTGAAACCAATACTACACAGTATGTTAACTAATTTGAATTTAAATTAAAAAAAAAAATGATTCCATTGTCATCTAGATTCAAAATCAATCTTTTTAGTTGCTAGTTCTATAAACTGCCAGATCCCAAACCTGCATGTTTTAAAAATTCTGCTTCATCAAAGGCATCCATGGTTCTAACAGAATGCCTGCATACCCTAACAAGCCTCACTTTTCTAAATGGAGTTGATCTTCTTCTGGACAAACCAGCCACCCAGTCTGAGAGCCCCCATTTCTGTCAACTGCACCTCCCACGTCCCAGACACCTAGTTTGATTGCTTTCATTGCTAGAACAAATATTTGTGGAATGCCTACTAGCCACTGAAGTCCCTTACTGAGCTCTGGGGCTATAACGATGAACAAGAGAGAAAGTCTCTCTTCCTCCTAATGTCTCCAGCAGAGCAGGTAGGTGAATTGGTGAATAACAGTGGTTTATCCAGCTTGTCACTGCCCCTCCCCTGTTCCACTGAGACTGCCTCAAACAGGACTTGGAGAGCCCAGACTTGAACTTCTACATTGGACTTTCTGCCTCTTCTCCATCCCCTGGGAACCATCTTACACACTTTGCCACCGGTTGGATCTTCTTAAAACACCTTTGGCATGGAGGCAGCAGGACTAGAACAACACCCTCTTCTGGGAGAAAACAAGTGAACCTGGGATCCCACAGAGGGGAGAGATGACTACAGACTCAGCTGTGAATGCTGGGATGGGGGCAGTGGGTAGCACAGAAAAGTCAGCCAAAAGGCAAGGGCAACACTCGGATGCCTGAGAACAAAAAGAGAAGGCCATGGATGCCAGATCCCATACAGCCTTGCAGGCCACTACAGGTCAGAGTGAGAGGGGGCCACTAGAAGGCTCTCGGCAGATGAATGGCATCCCCCAGCCTCTGTTTTAAGATCACTCTGGCTGCCTGTATTTAAAAACAAAGTGTGGGGGCACCTGGGTGGCGCAGTCGGTTAAGCGTCCGACTTCAGCCAGGTCACGATCTCGCGGTCCGGGAGTTCGAGCCCCGCGTCAGGCTCTGGGCTGATGGCTCAGAGCCTGGAGCCTGTTTCCGATTCTGTGTCTCCCTCTCTCTCTGACCCTCCCCCGTTCATGCTCTGTCTCTCTCTGTCCCAAAAATAAATAAAAACGTTGAAAAAAAATTTTTTTTAAAAAAATAAAAACAAAGTGTGGTCATAATATATGTAAGTCAAACAGCTATGCTGTGTACCTTAACTTATATGGTGACAGATGTCAATGAGGTCTCAATGAAACTGGGGGGAAACTGGGCAAGGGTGGAAGCTGGGCGACCAATCAGGTGACCACGGCAATCTTCCAGATGCGGAAGCAGTAGCCTTGGACCAGCACCAGAGGAAGTGCTGAGAGGTGGTCAGATTCTGTGAAACCAAAAAATTTCCTGGTGGAATAAACATGGTGTTCAAGAGGAAGAGGAATAGAAAGAGAAGCACAGTGCCAAAGATGACCCCAAGGCTTTCGCCTGAGCAAATGAAAGGGTGGAGATCCCACCAACCAAGCTGGGGGAGATTTGGGGAGGAACAGGTTTCAGAGGAAAGTTGAGGAGCTCACTCTTGGACTTGTGGTATTTCAGAGGCCAATCAGGTGTCCGAGTGGAAATGCACAGTAAGCAGCTGGAAACACACATAAGGAGCTCAGTGGGGGGCTGGACTAGAGCTCTCAATCTGTGCATTATCGGCAACAAAGTGATATTTAAAGCCGGATCCCCTGGATGAGCTCACCCACCTGGGTTGTGAATGCGCAGAGAAAAGTGGCTTATGCATTAAAGTCTCCAGGGCTAAGAGGTTGGCAAGATGAGGGAACCAGCCAAGGAAGCTGAGAAGGAACTGTTAGTGAGTTACAACCAGAAGAGGGTGGTGTCCTGGATGCCAAGAGAAGGCAGGGTCTCAAAGAGGAGGGAGTGATCAGCTATGTGGGATGCTGCTGGGCGGCAAGAAAGACGCGGGTAGAGCATGAATGGATCTCTGGACTCGTTAATGAGGACGTCAAGAGCTTTGGTGCAGTGAGGGAGTGAAAGCCTGTTTGGAGTGGGTTAAAGTGAACAGGAGGAAAGGGGTTACAAAGCAAATACAGACAACTCTTCAAGGGGACTTTCTATAAACTCAAGACAGCAAGTGGGTGGCAGCTGGAGGGGTGGAGGGGGCACGAGAGGGCTCCCAGTGATGGCATGAATATCTGATGGCATACCGCCTGCTGGTGGGGATGGGCTGGCAGCTCTCGGAGGAGACTGTCACAGGAGCAGAGCAGATGTCCCTGAGCGCAGTGACAGGAGGCGGGCCTCGGGGCACAGTGGAGGGCTTGGTCCTGTGACCAGGGAGAGACAGCAGGCTCAAGGGCAGGTAGGCAGAAGGGCTGAGGGTGACGTCCTGGGGAAATTCTCCTCTGAGGGCTTCTCTTCCACAGTGAAACAAGAAGCGAAGCCGTCAGCTGAGGACTGGGTCTGGAGAAGGAGGGTGTTTGAGGCTTGAGGAGAGGGGACGTTGGACTTGACTGAGGCGAGTGACCAGAAATGTACAGTGTGGGGCTCTGCGGGGCGATGGGTTTCTCTGCAGCCACGGTGTGTGAGATGGATGAGATGAGACTGGTTTGAGACTGGCTGGACAGGCCATATGAGTCCGACCCACTTAAAAGGGAGCAAGGAAGCTAGGCAGGCCTTCTAGTGAGCGAGCATGCCTGGGTGGCCTCAGGAGGACGGGGGCCATACAAAGTGAAGGAAAGGCAGAGTTGAGCGGAGAAAGGAGCTTCACATGGCAGTGGGACACCTGGCGTGTCACAGCGGAGGGCTTAGAATGAGTGGTGGTGACAACGTCTAGGCTCTATCCATGGGCGGGGTGGTAGGAGGGAGGACAAGATCATCACGGGAGAGCTGAGGGACTCAGAAGCCAGGATACTAGAATTACATATTTAATATTATAATCACTAAGAATTAATGACAGCAGGAACATCAGAAACAGCAAAAGGCAGCCAGGCATTCGAATGACCCAAAACCATTGGGATGTACCCACGGGCCTTACAGTTGATGACAACAAGGAAGGAGAAGAACCCAGAAGCATCGGCAAGCAGCACGGAAGAACCTATACCCTCTCTCCAGTTCCAGTGTAAAGTGATATAGGAGAGAAAAAAAAAAATCCACCTCTTGGGGTGGGGTGCAGGTGGAAACAGAGCGTCATCTATCAAAGGCGCTCAAAGAGTTCTGAGCTCATGACTGCCACTCCATCCCTTTCCAGAATATTCCTAGTAAGACAAGTGATGCTGAGGCCAGCAGCCCCACCCAGCTGGGGCTGCCCTCTCCACCTCGGTCACATCCCCTCCTCACTCAGAGGATGACAAGGGGACTGAAACTGGCCCCTGTGTGCCAGATGGAGAGGAAAACCCTGACAGCCCAAGAGACCTAATCCTTTTATTCCTCATAAACCATTCATTTGTGTTAGTCTCTTAAAATAGTTGGCAATTTGCCGTGTAAAACAAACCAACTTAGCGAATGCTCACCAATCACGTAAAGGGTGAACTTGGTATCGGTAATGCTTGAAAGTTCGACTTCATAGTCCTCTTCATCCGATGATGTTAGATTGAAGATGGTAAGGTTTCCTGATGTGACGTCCAGATGAACCCTATCTACAAACGGTGGGTATGCTCTGGGCTTTAAGAATTCTTCATCCCATTCTACGACTTTATCTTTTTTTTTTCTCCACATTATCTCTTTAATGGGTATAGAGCCCGATGTGTACAAAGTTACGCTCATGTTTACAGTTCCGTATATCGGCTGGGAAACACAGCTGATGAAGTCTAGGAGGGAAAAAGAAATTGGTTAGGAAAAACAACATGACTTTATTGAAAATAGAAAGCCATCTTCCAAGATGCTCTCTGGGGAGAAAAAAAAGTTAAATTTAGCAGTAAAAATTATTCATCAGCTACTTGCTGTGCTAACTTGATAAACCACTGACAGAAAATAGAGCGAGTACAACATGCTTGACCAGGCAAAGCTTACTCTTTTTTTTTTTTTAAAGTTTTTTTTTTTTTTTTTTTTTTTATTTTTGGGACAGAGAGAGACAGAGCATGAACGGGGGAGGGGCAGAGAGAGAGGGAGACACAGAATCAGAAACAGGCTCCAGGCTCCGAGCCATCAGCCCAGAGCCCGACGCGGGGCTCGAACTCACGGACCGCGAGATCGTGACCTGGCTGAAGTCGGACGCTTAACCGACTGCGCCACCCAGGCGCCCCCAAAGCTTACTCTTTTAAGGGGAGGACTGGGGCTCGCATAAATGCAAGAACTGTATTCAATTCTGGTGGGGCACCAAACCCATGCCAGGTACTGTGGGCAAGGCTGTGAACGTGACAGCTGACCACACAGGTGTCACTCTAGGCCCTCAAGAAGTCCCACAGTGTGGAGAAGACAAAGCAGGCATGGGAGCCACCTCGTCAAGGGCCTTCCCCAGGAAGTCACAGTAACGCCGCACTGGGGGCATCCCTGAGGGACAAGAGGTGCCGGCTGAGGGCTGGGGGAGGAGAGGTAATCATTCTGAGAGAGGAAGCAGTGCCTCCAAAAAGACAGGCCTTGAGTCAAGAAGGAGCTTGGTGTGTTTGAGGAAATAAAAGCAGCTCCCAACGGCTAGACAGAGAGAGCAAGTGAGTCATGGGTGGGGAATGAGGCTGGAGAGGCAGGCAGGCCCAGGTGACAGTGCCCATTCATGGGCTACTGGGGGTGTCAGATAAGACATGCTAAGGGTTTGGGATTTATCCTAATGGCAAGGGAAAGCCGTAGGAAGGCTTTAAACATAAGACTGGCACGATATAATTTAAGTTTCGGCAGACTGGCCCTGCCAGCAGAGTGGAGAGTGGTTACTGGGGACAGGCACGGAGGCAGGGAAACCAGAATCAAGGTCAGTGCTGGAGCACCGAGAAGGTGGAGGACTGGACGGACCAGACCGGGGTGTGGGCGGGGGGGGGGGGGGGGCCATGGACAAAAGGGCAGCTCCCAGAGCCCCTTGGGCGAGACCGCAACCGGGATTAGTGAAGTGGTGGGGGGTGAGGGAGAGGGGGGAGTTAACGGTGTTGGTCAGGCATCCTTCTTGGCTGACTGACTTGGGGCTATTAGCTGAGGTCAGAAACAATGACTGAGAAGCAAGTCGGGGGCAAGACACAGAGTAAGAGCACGGGGACTAGGTTCGGTGGTGTGGGGGAGCTGGCTCCAACTGTTAGCATCTCTGCCGGACCACATTCAGCCAAGCCTGGCTGACAGCTTGAAATCCACATGGTGGGAGCATTTACAGCACAGAAACTAACGCTTCAAACAGACACTCCTGCCTACTCCATGCCAATCCAATTGTTTGATATTTACTACCACCACTGGACTGGAATATTTTTGATACCCCAAAATGGGTTTAAATGCATCTGGTTCCAGACCTGACTTTCTTGTTAAGAGAGAAGAGCAGCTGTTAAGGGAAAGGCATTAAAGATAAATTAAAACTTGATTGAAGTTTTTGCCTAGCAGCAAGCATGGTAATTGAAAGAGCATGGGAAAAATCAAGACAGACCAGTTGTAGGCAACGTGTTCAGTGATTTCAAATACGAAGGAAATCTCTCCCATTTGCCGATTGTGAGGATTTTTGGAACCTGCCTCCCTTAATTAAGGGAGGCTGCCCACAGAAATACACCAGCAGCCCTCGATGCTTTGCTGATCACGCCCTCTCTCTTGCACTTGACTAGAGCACATGGGAAGGTGGATGAGAGGGAGAAGGATTCGAGGAGTGAGGATCTATCCACAGCCACCAGTGGAGGCTCCAAGTGTCTTGTGAGTGAGTGAGTGAGTGAGTGAGTGAGTGAGTGAATGGGAGTGGGTAGGGTGGTGGGTGAAGAGAAGGGGTATGAGAGGAAGCTTGGCTGCAGAAAGACGGATGGCTGCTGTCTTCCCAGGGGCAGGCGATGTGTCCTGGGCTTGAGAACAGGAGGAAGAAAGAAGTCAGGGATGGAGTGAGACTGGCGAGAAGCACGGGGCGCCGGGGGGGGGAGGGGGGAGAACAGTTCCGACAAATTCAGTTTGGGGCTGAAGAAACTTGCAAAATTATTTAGTTGAATTACCCCCATTTCACAGGTGAAGTGACAGGGCACCAAGCAAAATGAAGGAAAATGTCACTAAATGCCTACTCGCTGCACGTGGTGTGTTCACGTACCCTCGTGTCCCTTTTTACCGCTCGTCACACACTTTGCAGCGACCACGTCGCGCAGGTGAACAACCAGGCTCCGAGAGGCACGTCAGTGTTCAAGCCCCACGTCGGGCTCTGTGTTGACAGCTCGGGGCCTGGAGCCTGTTTCAGATTCTGTGTCTCCCTCTCTCTCTGCCCCTCCCCCGCCCTATTTTTTTTTCTCTCTCTCTCCAAAATAAACATTAAAAAATTGTTTTAATGTGTTCAATAACAAAGTATATAATAGACACATAGATACAATTTTATACAGATGCAGAGCAATGATATATCTACTTAGCACAGTCTTCTTCTCTGGCCTGGGTGTGTGGCTTGGAGGCCTCACCCTATCCCCCAATCCCTATAACCACCCTCAGTCCTGTAAACTATGTTAACAACTCTGAATATATCCTTTGCTATTCTTCTACCTGCTCATATCATCTAGTAGAGATAAAGATATATCACATAGAACGCATATATACATATATATGTGTATATATATACACATATATATGTATATGTGTGTGTATGCATATGTGTGTATATATACACGTATATATGTATATATGCGTTCTATGTGATATATACATACACAACACACACACACACAAAGAATTTGCCATGGTTTAACAAAAAATGGTCTTATGCACACGTCTCTGCATTTTGCCCTTCCAATCAAGAATACTTCATAAAAGTCCCACCCAATCCACTGGTGTGGCAAGACTTTCCTCCTTTTAGTGGTTTCCTATTATGACAGGGTACGAACGAACCACAATAAACCAGCTATCCATCACTGCTGAACACACCTTCTCTCCCTAGCCTCTTCTATTGCAGTAATTGTAATAATGATTCCTCTGTACAAGTTCTTGTGTATTTGTGGTCTCATATCTATGGCAGAGTGTGCCAGGAGTGGGAATGAATCAAAGGGCAAACAAATTTTTTATGTTAATAGGAGCTCCCACGCTGCTGGCTTCTGCTTGTCACATTTCCATCAGTAACACCTGAGTTACCTTTTCCTCGTGCTCAGCAAGCATCCTGTGATTTTTTTTTTGCACGTTTAATTATCAGACATAAAGTGATATTTCACTGTTATCTGAATTTGCATTTTCCTGCCCTCTAGAAATTTAGGCATCTTTTCCGCTTTTGCATTATTTGGATCTCCTTTTCTGAAAACTGTCTTTTCACATCCTTTGCCATTTTCTCCCGTTGGGTTGTTTTTTTCTCATCAAAGTTTACAAGTTCCTCGTAGGTTATAAACTTTTTGTTACCTGTATTATAATCTTTCCCCAAGGTGGGTGGTGGTGTCGTTCCCTAACACAGGGGACATGGAGGAGGGCCAGCTTTGGGCGGGAAGATTGTGCTTTCGGTCTCAGACGCTGTGTAGTGATGTCCAGTAGGCTGCTGGGCACACAGGTCTGGGGCTCACAGGAGGCGATACAGACTTGGGACTCATCACATTTGTAGTGGTTACTGTCTAGCATCCTAGTCCCACAGCAAAGTCTTTTCCATTGCACTTCCGAGACTAAACCAGAGAGATAAGTTGCCGATAGGACAATTGCCAATGAAAAAAGAACAGGAGTTGTTTCTCAGAGGTCACACACCCTGAATGAATGAATGAATGAATGAATGAATGAATGAATGAATGAATTTGCACTCAAATAGCAGCAAAGGAAAGGAGTCAGCAGTGAGCGGGTTGCTTTGTGGATAACTGAGTGGTCAAAAGAGGGACCACAGGGACACCAACTTATCATGCCAGAGGGCAGAACGGTAAGTACCAGACTCTCAGCCAGATGGGCCCAGCTGAACTCTCAAAAGCCCCCCAAACTAGGCTTCCTCGGCTGTAAAATGTAAATCAGAATGCCTACCACAAAGGATCGTTTTGAGGTTTGAATAAGATCGAGAGTCTTCAGGGATGCCTGGGTGGCTCAGTCGGTTAAGCGGCATTCTCTTGGTTTGGGCTCAGGTCATGATCTGAGTTTTGTGAGCTCGAGCCCCGCGTCGGGCTCTGTGCTGACAGCACGGAGCCCACTTGGGATTCTCTCTCTGCTCCTCCCCAACACTGTCTCTCTCTCTCTCTCCCAAAATAAATAAACTTAAAAAAAAAAAAGAGGGAGGTTTTTAAACAATAGCTGAAATGAATGAAGTAGGCTTTCAACAGGGCTTCCCTCTTTCTCTTTCAGCGAGCCAAGCCACATCAAGGCCTTTGTTGTACGTGATCCTGGCTGTGTGAGACCTTTCATCATTTCACCTAGTGTGAGCTTTCATCATTTAAAATGAGAGAGAGGCGGGGGGAGAGAAAACATGTATCAGCGATTGCCTGAACAGATATTCCATGCTAGCCAGAATTTTTTAAATTTGTATTGAAGAGTACTGAAAGATCTTTTAAAGATATGAGAGTACCTCAATGCCTATAGATAGAGGGATCATATATTTAAAAACAGCTCCAACTCCAAATATTTTGTTGCAGCGTCCTCACAAAACATCATCACCGCACCCAATTTTGATAATTCTTCTTATATATGGCTTGAAGTCAGGAGTGGCACCCGAATATTTTGCAAAAATGAAGTGCCCTGATTTTTGACTTAGAAAATGTGGCCACCGTGACTA